AGTGGTTTACCCACCTTTAGTTTAGAGAGGAGGAGAGCTAGTCCGAGATAACTCTTCAATGCTTGAAACGCCTCTTCTATTGGAACTTCTTTCCCCCTTTGCGAATCTTAAAGAGGAAAGGCACATTTCAGTGGATTTGGATATGAAGCGATTGAGTGTGGCAACCTTGCCCATAAGCCGTTGTACATCTTTTGGTTTCTGGGGCAACCTCATTTTGATCAGATCCTTGATCTTCTCCAGATATGCCTCGATCCCCCTCTGATTTACAATGTGTCCTAGGAATTTTTCGGATGCTACGCTAAATGTTTACTTACGGATGAAGTCTTTCAGTTCTCTCTTCCTTCCTTTCTCCAAATCCTTTCCCACATGTAAGACTTTGGAAGCGTCTTGGTGGTCTACTGAGAAGCTTTCCAGTTCTTCCATTGGAGCGGCTTGTGATTCGAATTCGATAATACGGGGATCCAGCTCATCCAAAGAAGCCTTTTCGGGCTCTTCACAAAAGCCTCTACCATCTAGATATTAACTTTTCTCAAAGAATTAAGGTAGCATTCTCTCGAGCCCATCTGATCACCTCGGACAGTTGCTATTCTTTGTTCAGTGGGAAATTTCATATATAGATGGTGAATGGAGGTGACTGCTTTAGGGCCGGTCTTCCCAATACTCCATGGTATGCAGATCGACTGTCAAGTACCAAAAACTTCATGAAGTGGTGTGCTACCAAGGGTACGTTTCCCATTTCCATAGCTAGGGTGATTTTTCCCTTGGGATAATGTATCTCCAGTGAACCCATATAACGGGGACGTCATAGGGGTGAGTTCGTTTCTCTCCTCCTTGGTGAATTTTGCCTTGAATTTTCATCCTGACGGTAGTTCTCCCTAGTGATGCGAAGGTTGCTTCTCGAGGATCTAACTGGTTTTACACATTTGCTTGTATCGTGGCCATGAAAGTAGTGAAAAGTGCAATAGGATCATGATTCCTCTTGAGGCCCATTTCAGATTCCTGGTTGCACGACTGCCACTGGGTCCAATGCTTTCATAAGCCAACGTTGGTACTGTATTCAAGGTGGCTGTGGCAAATGCTTGTCCGGAGGTCGGAGCCACCTCATGTCCGACCTGAGTCCACTGTTGGGTGACGATCTGCGAGGTAGACCCCTGCTGATATGCCTCTAGGGCGGAGGGAGTCATTGTGTCGCCTTGTTCCGATGATCAATTATTTCTTCATCAACAATCTCGACATTCATCATCTCTACCAGTTCGTCATAGGTAGATGGTTCTTACTTCAAACATCTCTGCAAAATAAAGTATTCATATTCAGTCCTCCTTTTAAAGTAGAGAGGGCTTCTTTGTCTGTGACTTGCTCACAATAGGTTATCTCGTCGGTGAAACGGGCGAGGTAACTTTTCAAGGTCTCTCCCGCCGCTTGCCTCATGTCTTGGAGGTGCTGAATTGGCGATTCTCCTTCCTAAATTGGTTCAAGAATGCCTTCTTGAGCTCTGACCAGCTTCTGAAGCTTAGAGGTGCCAACCTACTGTACCACACCTCAGCTGCGCCACTAAGCACTAAGTGGAAGGCCTTGCATTTCAGAGCGGGCGAAGCCCCTCGAAGGCTCATTTGCGTTTTGTACTTATTGAGATGTTTCTCTGAGTCCCCATTTCCCTCATACTTGGGAATTTTGGAAGGAACAAAGTTCTGAGGGATTGGAAAACTATGAAGCTCCCGTGAGAAAAGGAGGTTGTCATCGTCATCATTAAGCTTGTAGGACCGACACAGCTCATCGGAATCGTTCCCATTTGTTAAAGGACGAGGCGGTTGTTGGGAAGTTCGGCCTCGATTCTCCCAATCAACTAGATTTCGCCTCTCCCGCCTATTCTTAGGCGGAGGGGCCCGGACTTCCTAGCTTTGTGCACGCTCTTGTGGGTGAGCTGTCTGATGGGCGGATTGATCCCTATTTCTAGGTATTTGCCCGATTCGATCAAATAAACTAGCGGACCTTTGAGGCCGCTCTTCATAGTCAGGGGGAAGTTATCTCTCCTAACTTGTCCATCTTCAGATGGGGGAGACGGTGTATGAGGTGTCCACTTTCACTTCCCTTTCAACTTGGACTTTCCACTGTTGAATTGAGTGAGTTTTCCTGATCGATTCTACTTCAGTTCTTCGAACTGATTGTGGGGGATTTTGGTGGACCTGGAAGCCACCCTGATTTTGTACTTGCGTGAAGATTTTCTGCATGGCTGCGTTTTGGGTTGCGATATTCCTCATGTTAGTGGCCATACGAGCCACTTCGGCTGTTAATCGCGCAGCAGTCCTCCCACCATGCGGTATCGATGATGAGGCCTTTGGTGCGTGACATTATTTCGGATGGTCTCTTCTTTAGAGATCTCTCTTATTCTCCTGGGTTCACTTCTTCGTCACTTAAACTCATTGGCTCGGAGTTGCCAGTCTTCTTCCAAATGGTGAGAGCTCACAACTTGTTTTTTTTCAAGAACAAATTCATTTTTCAAAGAGGGAACATCAACCAAATATTCCGATAAGCTTTTTCTTTCGTGGGGATGCTCGTGTTTACAGTAACGTTCCCACAGACGGCGCTAATCTGTTGATCTCGAAAATGGTTCTGACACATGCCAACAGAACGAAACTCCACGTAAGCTCCTCCCAGGGCTCGATAGCACACCGTTAGTCGCTCTTTGCCTTTTTCGGTGGGGGTGGAAGCGACCGTGAGTACTCAGACGGTCAAGACAGTATTTCAGTCAACCGAATAGTGTTGTCCGACGATGAAGTGGTCACCGAGACGTGGTTGAAAATGTGTGTAAATATAGTGAAATGCTCTTTAAAATTAAATATTACAATGCAAAGGTTGGAATCAGAACCCCTTACTCTTACCAGTATGGGGGTATTTATACTAAGAAAGGGAAGATGCGAACCGTTAGATGAAAGGACATATGGCTTCAGATCCCGAACGACCCGTCTTTTCATAGGTGTCAATCCGCCAATCCATATATTGGCGGACATTAAATGGTTTCTGATATAGCAGCTAAGTTGACAGTTTTGTAGCCTGCCACATGTCCCATCAATCAGCCAGGGCAGGGGCGGACGCAGACTTTTTATGTTGGGGGGGCACAATCAAACTTTCACAAAGTATCGAAAAAATTAAAGTAAGAGATGTTTTATTACAATTGTTCTCTATGTTGGGGACGCAGAATTCTGTTGGTTCTTCATGAATTAGTTATGTGGTGGCCAAAACTACCTGTCCATAAGCCAATATTGATGTGTTGTAACATGCTAATGCATCCTTAACTAAACCGGCACCAACTAATTGATACACATCCTCCTAAAATCACAGAACCACGGATTTATAAATCAAATTAGATCCTTATGTTTTTTATTCAATGAAATAGCCTTAAATTCATTAATAAGTTCTCTTGAGGATCTTTGTGTTAACAAAAATGACTGTAAGTTAAAGTATTCATTGCAACAGAATATACAAAACTATGGGGAATTTCAGAAATAAGTCCAAATCTGAGATGATTTTGAGCCTAAAACTGAATCAAATGTATAGGTTCTATCACCAACTGATATTGAATCCTTAGAAACTTTCTAACCATTCCATCTCCACTTCCAGGGCCATTAAATGGCCTGATCCTCAATACAACCTATACATACACCTAGAATCATATACACTTGAAATTAACACAACCTAAACAAATAGCAAAAAAGTTAAAATTTAACAATATTCATCATCTGAAAATATAAAACAAATTAGAATTAGTTAAATTTGCATACCAAAATTATCAAAACAACTCCAAGCACAAAACCTATCCCATCCAGTATTACTAGATTAACAAACATAATATTCAATAACATTAACTACAGGATTTGTAAAATTATAGTAATTTATAATTTTACAATACCTTGACTGGTGGATCAGGATCTGCAGGTAATTTTTCCTGGGCAATAGATGAGGTTAATTCTTCCGTATAGCTATTGATTTTGGGTTCAGTTTTTGTATTTTTTGGGAATGAAATTAAGGCCGATAAAGGGAGGTCACTAATCTGGATGTTGGAGAGACTGAGACGGCTTGGATTGACCGGTGACCGGAGTAGAGGCTAGAGCAATTTTGGAGAGACTGAGAGTCGAGAGAAACGGAGGGTACTGGAGCTGCAAGAGAAATGAAGAAGTTAGGGACTAGGGCTTATGAATTTCTTTATTTTCATTTCGTTTTAAAAAAAAAAAAAAATTCCAAAATCCCGGGGGGGCACTTGCCCCCCAGGCCACCCCCAGGTCTGCCAGTGAGCCATCGATTTGACTTTGGAGAGATCTCCTAAAAGATTTTGGCAAAGATGTGGCGAGGCGGATTGTGAGGCATAACGAATATGGAATGCGGGCCTTTTCATCCGCCGGAATGGCGGATGAGTTCGGTTCTTCTACTAGGTGGGGCAATGTTGTTTTAGTTCGTCCGACATGAATTCAGTTTGTCCGACTTGAATTCAGTTCGTCTACCACGTGATAACACCTGAGCAGTTCGGCGAACACGTAACGAATGAGGTGGATGAGTGAGGTGGAGGGCTTCAGAAGGCCCGTAACATATATATATCCGCCACCATCCCACCCTGCAGTGAAAAAAGCTTGTCACACCTTGACTCTTATTTTTCATTTTTATTTTATATTTTTTTAAATTTAAATCATATTTTAAAAATAAAAATTAAAAATAATGCTTAAAAAAATGGAAAACAAGGCAAGGAATGGAGGGCAACAAGCTTGACTCATCCCATTACCATCCTTATAGCTTGATATGAATTACAAAACAAACAGGTCAAACAAACTTTTTTGGCACACGACGAAGAAAGCGAATAAAATATAATGATGCTTATGAGAATGTTCTTCATTCTCAATCTTTAATCGTGTTTATTTTCTCACACCCTAAAAAATATTGTGTAAAATTAACAGTCAGATAACAACCAAAGATATAAAGGAGTCCTCCGGGCTACGAACTTGTTAAGGCTATCAAGCCTTGCTAAGCTGCTCTAACAACAAAGTAGCCTTCCTCTTCGCCCTCTCCGTCCCACTTTTGGCAAGCTCTGAAAGAGGTAGTAATGCACCAAGCCTACTCAAACAAGCAACATTTTCAGTATCTCTTTTGCACAAAGAAAGTAAAATAGCAGCCGCATTCTCCTTGTTACGAGGAAGACCCGTTCTCAAAAGAGTTATCAATACTGGTATCGTGCTAGCTTTGATGAGGGCAGATTTTGCTTCATGATGGCTTGCAAGAACTGAAAGAATGGTAAGTGCTTCATCGACCATGCAAGTATTTGAATCCGTCAGCATTTTTAAAAGGGCAGTGATAATGCCAGTCCTTATAGCCCTTCCCTTGTTCCCCTGATAAATACACAAATTGAACAATGCTGTTGCAGCATCTTTCTTCCCTCTTGAGCTTCCGTTCTGTAGCAAGTCTACGAGAGCTGGAATAGCCCCCGATGCGCCTATTATTATTTTATTTTCATCTGCAAGGGACAAGCTAAAAAGAGTTGCTGCCGCATTTTCTTTTGCTTCCATGCTTCCACTTCTGAGAACCTGAACAATGGATGGGATGGCATTGGCAAGCATTATGAGTCCCTTGTTATTATCATAAATGGAAAGGTTAAGAACACACGTGACAGCATTGTCTTGGATTTGACCATCCGCAGACGTCAAGAGTTTAACCAGAATGGGAATAGCTCCAGCTTCTGCAAGCAAGATTCTATTATCCGTACTTCTTTTGGATAGAGACCGGATCTCAGAAACTGCAGACCTCTGTTCCTCAATGAAACTACTTGAAAGCTTATGAACAATTGCTTCAATTGCTGCTATGTTCTCACTAATATCTTCAAATGATCCGTCACTTCTTCTAATCCTTCCACTCACTGATGCTGTTGGCTGTTCCAAGTTGTGTTTCATACACCACTGAGCTATTAGACTTCTTAAAACATAATTGGGAGTAAGGACTAGATTTTGGAGCCTTTGTTGAGTTTTTGGACATGTTGTACTGCCACAATCTATCCATCTCTGTATATAAGATCTCTCGTACGTCTGCATCAGTAAGGATAAAATACAAGCGTAATGTTGTGAATTAGATGTTAAACAATTCTGATTCCATTCCTACATAATAAGAACAAAGAAAGACTAAGGAAATTGGGAATGTGAACCATACCTGCCCCGTGGCCACGATAACTGGATCCCTCATAATTTCAAGAGATATAGGGCAAAGAAAATCGAAAGGAATAACTGGAGAATCTGGCTTCTTTCTCTCCTCAGGACTTTTCCTATTAGAATCATAACTTTTCTCGCTATGAACTTCTTGCACAGAAACCTCGGTTGATATGGAGGGCTTCCTTTCGGATTCTGTAAGGATCTCAGCTGATACATGACATTCTGACCCATAACCTTTTAGAATATCTCCCAGTTTTCTTCTGACTTTATGATCAATATTACCATTATTTTCTAGATGTAGACTTCTGACAGCCATGTTGCCGTTCTGAAGGGGATCAAACTCTTTTTCCAGCAGCTGGGACAATGCCCTAGATAGTACGTTCGAACCCAAAGGACCACCATATTTTTCATTGGCTCGCCTCAGCTGGGCTCTGACTAATTCAACCTAGCGAAAAAGAGTTAACATCAAACGTGAATCTGATCCAGGCAACAAAACAACGATGTTTCAAAAACCAACCTGTTCCTGTACTTCCTCTGATATGTCAAAATGATCATAAGGTAGGTTAGCTAGTACCTTCTCCAATTTCCACGTCACACATTGAAATTGGAAGGAGATTTTTTTTGCAGCCCCATCCTTGAATCAAGGAACGGACAACTTTGAGAGATACAGGCCAGACTACATTTCATAAGTTCAGTGTAGCTATAAAAGAACTCACAGCATAATTATTATTCCAGCAATTGCCACAATCAGTATTTCAAACACAATTTTATAAAAGTTCAAATATTATGGTATTATCCAAGGTTTACAGAAAGGATGTCAACTAACATATGCATTGCTCATTATAGCACATGGCAGCCATTTCCCATAGGACACTGTGTGTTTTTAAGATCAGCAACTGAAAATTGCATATTGAATTCTCAAAATCATCATTTGACAAATTAGGTAACAAGCAACGTACACTTCAACATGATTCTAAACTCCATAACCTTATAAATATTTACACTCTAATAAATAAAATAGGACGATCTCACATCAATTCTGGATTAGAAAAAAAGAAAAAGAAACAGTTAATTACCAAATTTATTATGTCTCCTACCAAGATTCAACAAAATGCCTAATCATCCCTCATCAGCTCATGCACATTCATTCAAACACTAAATCACATAAATTGTCTGCAAAATTCAGATCAAATCAGACTGTTTATCCAATTTCGTATTTCTAAAAATTCAAGAATCACGATTATAAAGTCAAATCGACATCTGTAAAAGTCAATACCCATCCAAAACTAACAATTGTCCAAGAACCAATCGAACCAACAAAAATAACAAGATCCCATATCGGTTCAACAATTTAAACACAAAATGCGGAACACCCACTTGCTGATTCAATTCAGGCAGTCACGAAAACTCGAATTCAAGAAACATAAATAGAAAAAGAGACAGTAATCCATATAAACATATATACTTACAGAGGAAATCTTGGAATTATCGAAGTTGTTAGCTGCAATAAGAAGCTTTTTCGCAGCCTGGATTGCCAGTTTGAGTTCAGAAATGCAAGAATTGAAAGAAGAAGAGGATCCCATTTCGCCATTGTCATGACTATTCTTAGAGTCTCCAATTTCTTCAAGTAAATGGGTCAAGAGTGAGATTCTGCGAGCCAGGTCCATACAGTTTTTCTTGAAGGAACCAGAAAATCCGGCACCAGATATTCGTACGACGTCGTGTACAAGCCGGAGTGGTGTTGACGTGGCGATGCCGGTGACTCCCATCAAGTCCTTGCCGGCCATTTTGGGGGTGGAGCAGGAGGCTTGTCTATGACGTTTAAATAACTTTATATTGTGACAATGTCAATGTACAACTTCGGCTATCTTTGAGCCCATTTTGAGAAAAAAATGATTTGTGTAATATTAATTTTTCGAAAAATAAACGGTTAAAAAGTGAGAAAAAAATTTAAATTTAAGTGTAAATTATTTTATTTAAAAAAATGTGATTAAAATGAATTTTAAAAAATGGGTTCATACCGCTGAAATGTAAATGTCAAAAAAAAAAAAAAATTTAATTAACTTCAATATTAGAGGGACAATATTTTGGTAACAAACATGGACAAAATCAAAAGACGAGCACGTTTGGCCTTGTTAAAATAGCAAAACAATTTAGGTACTTATTTGAGAAGTAACTTATATTTGAGCTAATTACTCAAAAACTAGAAAATAAACATTTTGATATTATGGGCCATAAAATGTTTTTAATTACATCTAAATGAGGTTAAGAAACGAGTTGAAATCTGCAATCTTCATTTGTTGTCTCTCGATTGTCCCACTAAAAATTTAACACATCACTAAATTGGGTCGTGCTAAATAGAAAAAAGTAATTTATCTACAATTTAGGTAACAATGAACTCTATTAATTCATTATTAAATGAATTAAAATGCATTTCAACTTATTATACAACGTTGCAGTAGAGTTCATATTAACCTAGGCCAGTTATAAACCCCGGTCATATTACATACTCTATTAGTGTATTAGCCCATATTTGATGCACATTTTGGGGGTAAGAATGCATTTTTACTGTTGATGTGATGGGGAATATGTGGTTGAAAAAGAAGAAAAAATATTATTGATGTGATGGAAAATATTATTTTATTGAAAATGTGTGGTTGAAAATGAGAATAAGAAAAATAATGTGGTTCAAATATGAGCTTAGTATTCCTTCAAATGTGATGTCAATTATAGTATCCCGTGTGTCATCTTGATATTTGTTAATAGGAGTTTATGTGGTCAAGTATTTAAGAAACGACATATTTCAACTCGTAAACATATACAATGAAATTGTGTAAAAGCATCCTAAGCTGTGATTAGCCTGTATAAGAGAAGTTGTGGACAGAAAGAAAGATAAGTTTTTAGGCCAGAATCATGATTTGTGGGTAGAGGAGAAAGAGAAAAGTAAGGAAGAGTGGGAGAGAGAAGAAAACAAAGGAATACAGCTGGAAGGAGAATATTGTGAATGGGAATGAATTCGTTTTTTAGGTAACAAAAATAGGCTGGCCAAATTAGTTGTTAATTTATCAAGTGGCAATATCACAAAGACTTCTGTTATGTCTAGCAAATGGGAAAGTTTGACATAAGTGGACACCACAATTATTGTCCATATCTTGTTGCAAAATTTGTTTCCACTTCAATATTTTGGTTTGAAACTAAAGGTGTCAAAATAGATTGGATCGCCAAACTCTCATCAACACATGGCCAGCAAGGCATCAAAGCATATACAACTGCACTAAATGCAGCTTAAGGTCCTGTTTGATCCAAATTATTATAGAATGAGAATGAAAAATATAGTCTTTATTGAGGCCCACACAAGAGATTGAAAATTTGAATTTAAATGTTAATGTGATGGATAACGGTCATATTTTTCATTTTAATGAGATAATAATGTAGATTAAACGTGAGCTAAATTGAAAGAGTTGTTCTTGGCCTACTATTGAAAGGGTCGGATTGGTTTGGTCATTTCAAGTATGGGTGAAAAATGTTCGATTTAAACGGTTTTTGAACTATTTTTAAACTAAACTATTTTAGAAGGTTTGGGAATTTTTTAAACGAGATAAAACTACTTTATTTTTCAAATAAACTAATTTTTGCAGTTTAATTTGGTTTCAAATTACAGTTTTAACGACATAAAAATATCATCTTTCAAACAAGTTAAATAATAAATATATTGGTCCGAAATTTCTCTATAAGACTTAGAATGAAACATTCTAAATATAAATTTTATAATATTAATATATTTGTCTCATTACAAGTTTAAACTAATAAATTAGTATAAGTTCAAACATAAAATTTAAACTTGCAATTTCATTATTTAGATAAGAAAAGTAAAAATAGTTCAAACTCTTAATGATTATATACATAAAAATATCAAAATAATTTATTTAAATGAACACAAATAAAAATGTTTTTAGTAAATGTCATTAATTTTTATTTTTATTTCATACATTTTGGACTCAAATTATTATTTGTTTATATTTTACTTTTGTAATGAGAAGATTTTTTGTAATAATACCAACTTAAAAATGTATATAGTAGTTTATGATATTGTTATATTTTCTAATTAATTATGAAATTTCATGGAATATAATATCATAAAATATTTTTTCAAATTTTCAAACCAAACGTGTTTTCTAATTTGTTATTTTTAGAAATCTTAAAACAGACCCTCAAAATATAATATTGAAAATGAACTCAAAATTCAAAATTAAAACAAACTAAGCTTACGTTTGTCTCTCATTCTATCAAAACTTTTTTTTTTCTACATATTCATTTTTAATCACGCATTCACATAATAAAATATTTTACACATAAACTCAATTTTTTTCCTACTTTTAATCACACATTCTTCAAAAATTGATTATTCAAAACAATATTTTTAGAAAAAAAAAAAAATTGCCACTAAACAAAGGCTAAACATTCCTTAGATTTTTGGTAGATTTTAATAAAAGTTAATGGAATATGTAGCTGAAAAATTGTGAGTCACTTGAAATGTGTAGTTAAAATTAATTATTAATTTAAAGTTAAATTCTAATTTAATATTTTAGCTGAACAAAATAGGAGCTTAAAGTATTGTAATTATAAAATATTTCGGCACTTTCTAAATCCGAATTGATATGATAAATAGTTTGGATGAATGACTTAATTTTTTTAGAAAAAAATGTTTTGTTTGATTGAAAAATGATAAAGGGGAACGAAATAAAAACAATATAAAGAAGGAAAAGGGCAGAACTTATCATAGAAGGCAAAAGTAAAAATCCGCATTCTTTTCACTATACTAGTAAGATGCACGTGCATAGTATAGTTGGTTATATGATAGCATAAATATAAAAAAAGATATTTGTTTTAAGCATTAGGTACATTAAACTTAAAACACTTAAAATGATGATAGATGACAAAAATAATATTAAGATATTTGATTCAAAATTTATTTTCTAGACTTTACATTTGAAGGTCTCTCTATTCTTTTTTTTAAAAAGGCATAGATGATTAGGTGTTGATATTTTGCTAAAGAAATAATGAAGTTCGACATAACCTTTCCTTTTCTACCTATTGAGGTAAGACATTATGTCTCCTTCATCTCGTGCTCATAAAATCTCTAATTACATGTATCAGTTGCACCAATATTTAATTTATTTACCAAGACCTTATGCAAGACGTATATAGTCAAGACTAATTAATTAATGATAATACAGTGCAGAATTTAAGACAAATTAAGGGTCTCTATCAATATTTAAATCACAATACAAAGAAAACTTTCATCATAGAGGCAACAAGAATGACAAACGATCACCTAATTTAATAAATTTCGTCGAATATTTTTTCAGTATATTCTAATGATACTGTACATTAAATCCATTTTAAAAAAAACCAAAATAATCTACTTCATAGAAGATGTTTGTCTACGAGCTCTGCATGATGTATGAGGATTCTTCTGAAAATCATTGAGTTCCTTTAATATCAATTTTGATGCCATAACTTTACCATTTTTAACCGTAAAAACTGAAGAAAAATGAAATTGAGAGAAATTGGCGTGAATATGGGGGTTGATGGTGGAGTAGAAAAGAAAAATTAACGATTATGATTTTACGTTTAATAATTTAAGATAATTTTTATATTTAAACGTAATTGACAATATATTTATTATTATCACATTTTAAGTTTTTT